ACTTTTAAGTGAATAAAGAGTTCTCGAAACTAAAATGTTTGAGAACCTTTGAGGCAGAACTTTAAAGCCCACGATTAGATTTAGAAGTTTATTGTAAGAGTAATGGAAATATTTGGAAGTATTTTGGTGATAAGAGTATGGGAATAATCATGTTCTGGCTGGCATTTTTTTTTTTTTTGTCTTTCAAAAAATTTAGGGGGTACAAGGGGTTTTCATTATTAATACATGGATGAATTTTATCATGCTAAAGTCAGGGCTTTCAGTGTACCCACAATGAGAACAGGGTACTTTTTACCTGATAGATTTTTATCCCTCTTCCCCCTCCAGCACTGCCCCCTTATTAGTTTTCAATGTTCACTACACCACCTTATGACTATATATATATATATCCCTCTATAGCTCCCACTTAAAAGTGAGAACACGTGGTATTTGTTTTTCCATTCTTGAGATACTTTACTTAGGATAACAGTCTCTGGTTCCATCCAAGTTACTGCAAAAGGCATTATTTTGTTCCTTTTTATGGCTGAGTAGTACTCCATGGTGTACACATACATAAATACATACACACCATGGAGTACTATAATACTCCATGGAGTATTATAGTATTACATGGAGTAAATGTAATATATATATATTACATTTTTTTGGTCCACTCATTGGTTGATAGGCACTTAGGTTGATTCCATATCTTTGCAACTATGAATTGTGCTGTGATAAACATTCAGGTACAGGTGTCTTTTTTATAAAATGATTTATTTTCCTTTGGGTAGATACCCAGTAGTGAGATTACTGGATTAAATGGTAGGTCTACTTTTAGTTTTTTGAGGAATCTCCATACAGTTATTCATAGTAGTTATACTCATTTATATTCCCACCGACAGTGTATAAGTGTTCCCTTTTCACTGCATCCATGCCAGCAACTATTGTTTTTTAACTTTTTTTCAGGGTTAAGGTGGTATCTCAATGTGGTTTTAATTTGCATTTCCCTGATGATTAATGAGTTGAACATTTTTTCATATTATTGAAGGCCATTTATCTATATTCTTTTGAAAAAAATATCTGTTCATGTCTTTTGCCCATTTTATGATGGGCTTATTTGTTTTTTTCTTACTGATTTGTTTGAGTTCTTTGTAGATTCAGGATATTAGCCCTTTGTTGGATGCATAGTTGATGAATATTTTCTCCCATTCTGTAGGTTGTCTATTTTCTATATTAATTATTTCCTTTACTGCACAGAAATTTTTAGTTTAATTAAGCCGCATTTATTTGTTTTTGTTGCTGCTCTATTTCCTTGTGGGCTCTTAGTCATAAATTCTTTGCCAAGGACAATGTCCAGAAGAGTTTTTCCGATGTTGTCTTCTAGAATTTTTATGGTTTCAAGTTTTACATTTAAGTCTTTAATCCATCTTGAGTTAATTTTTTTATATGGTGAGAGATAGGGATCCAGTTTCATTCTGAAAGTGGTTATCCAGTTTTCCCAGCACTATTTATTGAATAAGGCTTCCTTTCCCCAGTGTGTGTTTTTGTCTGCTTTGTCAAAAATCACTTAGTTGTAGTTATATGGCTTTATTTTTGTATTCTCTATTTTATTCCACTGGCTATGTGTCTACCTTTATACCAGTACCCTGCTCTTTTGGTTACTGTCACCTCATAGTGTAATTTGAAGTTGGATAATGTGATGCCTCCAGATTTGTTCTTTTGCTTAGCATTGCTTTGGCTATTTGGGCTCTTTTTTGGTTCCATATGAAGTTTAGGATTTCTTTCTAGATCTGTGAAAAATTATGTTTGTATTTTGATGGGAATTTCCCTGAATATGTAAATCACTGTGGGCAGTATGGACATTTTAACAATAGTGATTCTTCCAGTCCATGAGCATGAGATGTTTTTCCATTTGTTTGTGTCATCTATGATTTCTTTCATCAGTGTTTTGTAGTTCCTGTAGAAATCTTTCACCTCCTTGGTTAAGTATATTCCTAGGTATGTTATTTTCTTTGCAGCTAGTATAAATGGAATTGAATTCTTGATTTGACTCTTAGCTTGATTGTTATTAGAATATAGAAATGCTACTGATTCCTATACATTAATTTTATGACCTTAGATTTTACTGAATTTATTTATCAATTCT